ATTTTAAACAAGTTCAAAATCTTGGCGTATTGTACAACATCAGATCTGAAATTAATGAATTTAAAGTATAACCTTGCTTGGCCCTTATATTTTTAACATCTATCCTTTTTGATGATATATATGATTTAGTAGTGTGGAGCTAATATATAAAACATAATCAAGATGGGTTTTAAAGAAGTTTAAGGTTTTCAATAAGTTCAAATTTTCACAAATTGTACAATATCAGAGCTGGTATTAATGAATTTTAGGTATTATGTTTTTACATCTATCCCTTTTTGATGTCATATATGCTTTAGTAGTGTTGAAGTAAGATGTAAAACAAAATTTAGACAGGTTTTAAAGAAGTTTAAGGTTTTAAACAAGTTCAAATTTTGAAGAATTGTACAATATCAGAGCTGATATTAATGAATATTGGGTATTTAGGTGAGCCTTATGTTTTTTACATCTATCCCTTTTTGATGACATATATACTTTAGTAGTGTTGGACTTAGATGTTAAACAAAATTTAGACAGGTTTTAAAGAAGCTTAAGGTTTAAACAATATAAAAAATTGAAGAATTGTATAATAACAGGTCTTGAATTGAATTGAATTGAATTTTAGGTATAACTGTGAATGGCCCTTATTCTTTTTTTTACATATATCTCTCTATGATATCATATATGGTTTTGTAGTATGAAACTAAGATGTAAAACATAATTTAGATGGGTTTTAAGGAGGTTTAAGGTTTTAAACCTGTTCAAAACTTGACAAATTGTACAATATCATATCTTCTGACATTAACGAATTTCAGGTTTTAGACGGTCATATATTTCACCATGAGTAACTTTTTGGGCATAAATACAGTGGTTTTTATTTTAAAAAGTGTTTTTCTTACAAGTGAAGTCCCCATGAAAAATTATAAATTGGGACCCCATGTCAACAATTCTTTCTAAATGTTTAGAGCCAACCAAGGTTATACTTGAAATGTAGTGTTAATTGCTGAATTAATATTGCACAATGCGCCAAGATTTTGAACATGTGAAAATCCTTAAACCTTCTTAAAATCCATCTTAATTATCCCACCGAACGAAGTTCGAGAGGGATATAGGAAAGCCTTCCGTCCGTCCGTCCGTCCGTCCGTTCGTCCGTCCGTCCGTCTGTTTGTCCGGGCGATAACTCAAATACCGTTTCACGGATTTGATTCAAATTTTATAGGCTTATGCCTTATGGGTGTAGGACCTCTGCTCGAGAAGGAATTTTCAATATGGCCACTGAATTCAAAATGGCCGCCATTTTTCGTAAAAAATGTAATCTTTAATAACTCAAATACTAGTTTGCGGATTTGGTTCAAATTTTATATGCTGATGCCTAGGGACAAAGGCGTTTCGCACAAAAAGAGATTTTCAAGATGGCAGCTTAATTTTAAAATGGCGGCCATTTTTCGTAAAAATATGTAATCTTTGATAACTCAAATACCAGTAAACGGATTTGGTTCAAATTTTATATGATGATGCTTAGGGACACAGTAGCTATGTTTGACAAAACATTTTCAAGATGGCCGCTTAATTTCAAAATGGCGGCAATTTTTTGTAAAAAACGTAATCTTTGATAACTCAAATACCAGTGAACAGATTTGGTTGAATTTTATATGATTATGCCTAGGGACACAGTAGCTCTGTTTTAGAAATAATTTTCAAGATGGCGGCTGAATATCAAGATGGCGTCCCATATTTGTAAAAAACGTAATCTTCGATAACTCATATACCAGTGAACGGATTTGGTTCAAATTTTATATGCTGATGCCTAGGGACAAAGGAGTATCGCACAAAAATAGATTTTGAAGATGGCCGCTTAATTTCAAAATGGCGGCCATTTTTCGTAAAAATATGTAATCTGATAACTCAAATACCAGTGAACGGATTTGGTTCAAATTTTATATGATGATGCTTAGGGACACAGTAGCTATGTTCGACAAAACATTTTCAAGATGGCCACTTAATTTCAAAATGGCGGCAATTTTTCATAAAAAACGTAATCTTTGATTACTCAAATACCAGTGAACAGATTTGGTTGAAATTTTATATGATTATGCCTAGGGACACAGAAATAATTTTCAAGATGGCGGCTGAATTTCAAGGTGGCGGCCCATATTCGTAAAAATGTAATCTATGATCACTCATATACCAGTGAATGGATTTGGTTCAGATTTTATATGATGATGCCTAGTTCACAATGGTATAAACAAGCTTTGTGCCAAATTTCATACTTCTATCACAAAGTGCACAAACATTTCAACATTTACACTAGCTATAATAAGCATAATAAGTTTTGTTCGGTGGGATTTGCTACTCCGTGGAGTTGCTGTTTTTCTAGTTGTTTTTTTTACATCTTTTTTACATCTTAGTTCTACACTACAAAACCATACATATCTTCAAAGAGGGACAAATGTAAACAATATATGGCTCACCAAAGGTCTTACCTGAAATTCGTAAATTCAGACCATATATTATACAATTTTTCAAATTTTGAACATGTGAAAATCCTTAAACCTTCTTAAAATCCATCTTAATTGTTTTTTTACATCTTAGTTCCATACTACAATACCATACATATCTTCAAAGAGGGACAAATGTAAACAATATATGGCTCACCAAAGGTCTTACCTGAAATTCGTAAATTCAGACCATATATTATACAATTTTTCAAATTTTGAACATGTGAAAATCCTTAAACCTTCTTAAAATCCATCTTAATTGTTTTTTTACATCTTAGTTCCATACTACAATACCATACATATCTTCAAAGAGGGACAAATGTAAACAATATATGGCTCACCAAAGGTCTTACCTGAAATTCGTAAATTCAGACCGGATATTATACAATTTTTCAAATTTTGAACTTGTTAAAATCCTTAAAGTCCTTAAACATTCTTAAAATTCATCTAAATTATATTTTACATTTTAGTTCGTTACTATAAAAGCATACATATCATTAAAGAGGGACAGATATAAAAACAGGGGTCATCCAAGGTCATTCCTTAAATTCGTAAATTCAGACCTGATATTGTACAATTCTTCAAATTTTGGACTCTTTAAATTCCTTAAACCTTCTTGCACACCATCTAGGTTATTTCTTACACATTAGTTTCACACTACAAAACCATAAATATCATCAAAGAGGGACAGATGTGAAAAATATATGGCTCACCAAAGGTCTTACCTGAAATTCGTAAATTCAGACCTGATATTGTACAATTCTTCAAATTTTGAACTTGCTAAAATCTTTAAACCTTCTTAAAAACCATCTAAATTATTTTTTACATCTTAGTTCCATATTACAAAGCTATAAATATCATCAAAGGGGGACAGATGTAAAAAATCTAAGGCTCATCCAAGGTCTTACCTAAAATTTGTAAATTCAGACCTGATATTGTACAATTCTTTGGATTTTGAACTTGTTTATACATTAAACTTCCTTAAAACCCATTTTAATTATTTTGTACATCTTAGTTCCATATTATAAAGCTATAAATATCATCAAAGGGGGACAGATGTAAAAAATCCAAGGCTCATCCAAGGTCTTACCTAAAATTTGTAAATTCAGACCTGATATTGTACAATTCTTTGAATTTTGAACTTGTTTATACATTAAACTTCCTTAAAACCCATTTTAATTATTTTGTACATCTTAGTTCCATATTACAAAACTATAAATATCATCAAAGGGGGACAGATGTAAAAAATCTAAGGCTCATCCAAGGTCTTACCTAAAATTTGTAAATTCAGACCTGATATTGTACAATTCTTTGAATTTTGAACTTGTTTATACATTAAACTTCCTTAAAACCCATTTTAATTATTTTTTACATCTTAGTTCAATACTTCAAAACCATATTTATCATCAAAGTGGGATAGATCTGGAAACCATAGGCATCAGCTATAGTCATACACAAAATCACCCCTCTCAAAAATGTCAAATTTTTCAAAAAATCAACAATTTTTTTCTCAGCTCCTACTGATTCAATGGCTTTGAACCTTTCAGGATTTATAGGCCTGCTACTGGGCACTTCACATGAAATGTTTCAATGTCTTCCAGTGTCTGATTGAAAAGTGAGGCTCTAAATAGTAAGAAAATGGGTCACGAATTTGCCCCCTGGGGTACATACTTTGTACTATTTTTCAAATTCTGTAGGAGTAATTGGCATTATTTATTTTGCAAATGATTTATATATATAATGTCTATGTGTGTAACTTAAAAAGATCAAGATATCTAAAATTATTGAAGATGAAAAAATTATTTTCTGGGGGTGGGGTGTTTTTGGGGGGTGGGGGACTAACCCCTGAAAAAAAAGAATTATGTACCACTCTGTGAAGCTATCACCTAGGTAGAATTTTCATCCAAGACTTCCCTCTAACTGAAAATGCTGCCAAACCAACTATACTCCATTTATTAAGAATTTTCCTCCTCGCTCTTAGAGTATAATCAAATTGTTTATTTTTGATCTTTTGCTTAAAATGTGGACCACCAAATGCTATATAGAAAAGTATGTTATTCAAAAATACACTGTACATGTACATTTGCTAACATCATATAAATGTACAACATTTTTACAGTGTACAGAGTACATCCAATATATTAAGTGAACATACAATGTAATGATGCATCTAATTAACCGTAAGTCAGGTGTGTGGGATAATATTAAAGATCAATTGTTTTTTATATCACTATAGAAACTCAGAATGAACCACTGATAACAGGTTTCATTATTATGAATATGAGAATAGATTAAGCAATTTCGAAATGAGCTAGAAAATTTCAGGCTCATTACCATTTCGACAGTCAACACAACCCGTAAATCAATGAGATGTTTGGTTAGTGAGTTTCATATTGAACTATGACAGACTATAGAAAGAGAAATGTTCTTTCAGCTAAAATTCCACAAGGGCCTAAAGTTAAAGTGCAAACAACAATCAAACAGTAAGTACAGGTATGTCACATATAGAGACTATAGATGTCTCACCTGGTCTTCGATAGCCTTGTGGTCAGTCTCCTCCAACCATGACCCTAGGATAACGCTGTCGTCATGGTGACACATTGCACGTAGCATTGATGTTGTTGTGTTCGCTGGATTATCAGTGAGTGTGAATTCTGCCACCAATTCTCGTAGCAAATCACTAAATAATCCTGAAATATCATAAGAAAATTGTTTATACATTGAAAAGTATTTCAAATTGTACATGAATGAATGATATGTAAAATAAAAGGTCCAATGTATTAGGATTTGAAATTATTGAAGTTTACCTTCATATGTCTTAGGTGGTAATAGGGATAGTACATCATAGAGTCTCAGTCGGACCATGGCAGCACAGGCCTTTAGGTGGGCACCATAGTGTTTGATCAGACTAGGGATGCTAAAAGACACACATACACAATTACATTTTGGCTAGAGGGGGCATATTTGCATAAGATTCCATTTGCCACTGTTTGTGCTTTACCATTATGTTGTATTGTTTTGTATATACAGCATCATTACCAAAGACATTCAAAAATTTATCAAGTTGTTTGTTTTTATTTTGGTATTCAACTGTTAGTGTTTCTATTACTTGCTTATTGACTGATAGGTCTATGAGTTATTTGGATATTATTTGGATAATTGTGTGACCCCTACTTGAAGACACTTAATTAAAATTTCAGAAAAATACATAGAATACACTGATTCAAATTTTCAATGCAATTTTGATCACTTACTGCTCCATAAGTTTAAGAGCACACTGTAGAGGTGACAGCAGTCTCCTCGTCACATCTTCCGTCACTAATTCTGGACAATTTCGGATAAAATTCTTCATTGCTGAAATAGTTAAACAAAAAGCAAGATAAGTTTGATGTACAATCTCAAGGTTTAAGTTTTAAGAAAATAAGTTCCTTTTGAGGGTGTTAGCATTCCTTGTCAAATTCATTAAACTTTCCACAATGCCATATTGTGAACGTTATACATGACATGTATGATCTACCTCATAAAAATACTTCATGTGAAATGATACACTTACATAAAACCTATTAACTTATTAGAATACATAAAATACAATTTTTGAAAGTCAAACCCCAACAAATCATATGAACCAATTACTTACAACTCAGAGCTCCAGCTCTCCCCTCTAGGGTGACCTGCCAGGTGAAGGCGTCCCCTCTGGCTTTCTCCGACTCCAGTTCTTTACTGGAGCGTGGGAATGAGTTCTTCCAGAGAAGCAACATTCTGGGAAGGTGATTCTTTACCACTGCTGGACCTGCAACCAAAATATACAACTCTGAGTAAAGTGAACCAAAATTACTCTCAAGTATTCTGAATTTAGTGTGTTTCTTTAATTATTATTAATGTATTAAAGTCACCTATTCCCTAACTTTGCAAATATTTTTATGGAAAAGAAAGAAGTAGAATGTGAAAGCAGATCCCAGTTACAATATCTGAATGTTTTCAATTCATCTTGGTATGTTTTCTTCAACTCAAAAAAATAAAAAATAAAAAATGTTTTCAACTCAAGATATAATAGAGAGATACTGAACAAATGGAGAGAACATAGCAGTGAGTTTAAGTGCATTAAAAAAACAAAATTCTGTACATTCACATAACACAATTTCTAACAACATTTCTCCTTACCTAGGCTCATGAAGGCCCCCAGTAGGAGCCAACCTGACATAGTACGCTGCAGGGACAATCTACTATTCTGGGAGGCTGTTCGCAGAAGCTCCTCGGCTATTCCAAATATTTGCTGCAATATAAAACATCATAATTATCTCATTGTGATTATATTGGCTCAGGTGGCATATTTCATAAAATAAAATAAAAATAATACAATGTTTTATATGATTCGGAAAAAGTGAAGCACAAATATTATTTAATGAAAATAATGTAACTTTGTAATGGAGATTTCAATATTCTATTTCTTTATTTATGACTTTATTGATATCCAAAGAGCAACCAACTATTACAAAGACAGCCTACCTTTCCTTTAGCATGTGGTATTCCAAGTGGACACATATAGACACCACCAAGGAGAGCTGCTATGGCAAAGCTGTACCCAGTCACAGCCTCAGGGGATGATTTCAGCTGTGTCATTCTACTCATGCAGCGGTCTAGGAGGGGGGTCAGTTGGGAGGGTAGGGCTACAGCTATGCATCTTAGGCACCAGGCAGCTGTCAGTCTTGCTGCAGAACTGTGGTGGATCAGAACTGATACTACTGGCTCAATGATGCCTACAAACAGAATAATGATTTTTGTGTTCAAGGTCTAGTAGGAGGGAGCAATGAGAGTAATATGGCTACAGTTAAATGCATCTCAGGCATGAGACAGTCGTGGCCACAGTTAAATGCATCTCGGACACGAGACAGTCATGGCCACAGTTAAATGCATCTCAGGCATGAGACAGTCATGGACACAGTTAAATGCATCTCAGGCATGAGACAGTCATGGACACAGTTAAAAGCATCTCAGGCATGAGACAGTCATGGCCACAGTTAAATGCATCTCAGGCATGAGACAGTCATGGCCACAGTTAAATGCATCTCATGCATGAGACAGTCATGGCCACAGTTAAATGCACCTCAGGCATGAGACAGTCATGGCCACAGTTAAATGCATCTCAGGCATGAGACAGTCATTGCCACAGTTAAATGTATCTCAGGCATGAGACAGTCATTTGTTTAGTTGAAGGTCTGTGTTTTATCAGAAATGAGAATTAATAAAAATAGAGATCAAAAAATATTTCATTTAACTGCATGTACAAGCTTTCCTTGCAAATTAAAAAAATCTTTCCTCAGTGGTAACTTACAAAACCTGATTCGAAGTGTATGAGTATCTGTACAGGAAATAGCATATGACTCACCTGTAGCTGGTTCATTGACTAGAGGAGAAGCTGAGGTCCCAAGACTCTGTACAAGGCTTCCCAGTTCATGTAGACAACACACTATCACATGGTGGCCACTGGACTCCCCTATAGGCTTTTCTACCTCTGTAAACAGACAAACAAATAATACATTCAAGGTATACATACAATCACTGATAATACAGCGATGAATACACATAAAAGACACATTTATGTTTTCCATTTAGTTTAGTCCAAATAGGCCTAATCAAGTAAAAATCATTTACATTACATTTGACAAAATAGGAATTTGTTCATCTGTGTACTGACAATGAATATTAGCCTCAAAGGTTCTAATAATTTCCACTTTATTTTGGATTGTAAAACATGAGCTATTGATAAAAATTGGTTCTATTTAACCAACCTGCAGTGGCATTCATCTCCTTGACAATCATCTGACTGATCTCTCTTGCAGCAGCAATCTGGGCCTTTTCACTCAACTGGCCCCCGATAGCATTCCTAAGGATGAACTGAACACATTTTCTGGCATATACAGCATCCACATGTGTTGGGGTGGCCCGAGGGTTAGCAACAAGGTACACAACGTGAGTCAAGAATTCTGAGATGTTTCTCTCGAGCCAAAGACCACCCATACACTTCAGGAACTCAAGATATGCCTGAAAATAAATAGGGTTGTTATTCTTTCTATGAGAGAATCTCAATTAAGTGACAAATTCAGAGTCCATTATAGGGCTAGAAAGTAAGGAAATTAATCCATATATGAACAGAGAATGAGATGTTTTACTTACATGTGTTACACCAACTCTAATCTCTCTGTTCACATTCCCAGTCCCTTTGATCATCTCTCCCGTTCCCTTTAAGAACCCAGTTCCTCCCTTCACAAAGCCATTGGCCAATATGTTCAACACATCTGTAAGCTTTAGCTCTCGTCCTTTAGCAGCTGAAAGACAAATCAATTTGGATAAATGTCAAATTAATATATACAGGGTGTCCACGAAGTGCGTTTACACATTAAACAGATTTGTATTGTAATTGTAAAGACAACACATCTGTAAGCTTTAGCACTCGTCCCTTTGCAGCGGAAAGACAAATCAATTTGGATAAATGTCAAATTAATATATACAGGGTGTCCATGAAGTGCGTTTACAAATTAAATAGACTTTGTATTGTAATTGTAAAGACAACACATCTGTAAGCTTTAGCTCTCTTCCTTTAGCAGCGGAAAGACAAATCAATTTGGATAAATATCAAGTGAATATTGAAAACAGTACATTGGTTAACAGTGGAATCCATCAAAGCGTACATTTTCAGGATACAATTTTGACAAATAAATGATATGTTTGCCATTGAATCAAATTTTCTGTCTTAATCATTACTACATAAATTGCATCTAAGGAAAACTGGCATATACTTTCAGCAATTAATTGTAAGGTCAACAGTCAAACTGTGGACCACTGTCTGATGAATAAAACTAATCAAATTGAGGTACTAACAATATAAAATCCTTACCTTTAATCAACTTAGGATTCTGTGTGTTTGCTATAACAAGTCCAAGCATTTTGCCAACAACACATCTGACATCATAATTGGAGCCATCGAGTGCCCTCAGACACAGAGAGACGACATTGTCCAACTCTGTGGTGTACATGAAAGGTGCCTCAATAACCAACTGGTGCATTACCTAAATGAGATGAAACATACAGATGTCATCATAGTGGTTTGGTTTACATGGATCAACAAGGCATTAACATGCAAAATGTCATTTGTTACAGACACCAACTGCTGAACACTGTCCACAAAAAAGTTGGAAACTATAACAATATAACAATATGTCACTACTTGTGGTTAGTGGTGACATAAAAATATCAATTGAAAGGATAGAGGTGTAATGTTACGGTAATATTATTATAGATATGAACTGAAGTCATAAAAAGTATGACATAATAAAATAAAATGACAAGTTAATTCAATGGAAGAATATTTGATAGTCAATTTCTCCATTGCCAATTTCTGAAATTCAAACTTAAGTGGGAAAGAATTGTGTTTTCATTTAGTGAAGTAATAAGGCATTGTATTAGACACTCTAAACGAACCATGAAAACAAAACAGGTCTGTTTACCTTAGCAGCTGCACACCGTACATTCATGGAGCGATCTGTGAGGCAATTCCTGGCAGCCTTGTATATATCCTTATAGCATGAGCTTCCTGCGCTGCCAAGGCCACACACAACCTTCTCAAGTGTAAGCATGATCTCAGATCTACCCTGCGACTGGAAATATAAACAAACATTCAAACAACTAGTCAATCAATCAATCATTCAATCAGCAAGCAAGCAAGCAATTTTGATCCTTGTTCAAATGCAATTATTTTCATTTTATCATGAAGTCCTGATTTCCATGATGCGAGTACAGTTCTCATTTTAGTTATATTTGTGTCATTCAAGTCATATATAGTACACTAAAACCAAATCAAGCTAAACTGATGATTCAGAACTATGTAAAATATATATCATGCAGCATGAGATGAAATTTACCTCTGCATTTTTCAAAGCTTTGATTAGCAGGCTAATTGTTTCCTCGTATGATCTTCCCACCATGCGGCCCAGCCTCTCATACATTCCACCAATGCAAGCCACTGCAGCCCTGCAAGTAGATTGAGAAAACTTGATAAAAATCATGACAGACAAGTTTTAAAATGCAAAATAAATTAAGAAAGAGTGGAATATGCAAGGAATAAAGTAGAAAGTCATGGAGGAGATACTCTAAATTGTTAGGAAATGTAGGAAATCCAGACACTTCATTCAAATATTAGAGAGAAAATAGCCAAAATATACAGGTACATGACCAGATTTTTTGTAGATTTAACAGAGTAGATATAAAGATTAAAGATGTAACAGCGGTAACATCATGAAAGTGTTTCATATGTGATTCTAGTTTTATTCTATCAGTTTAAGGTTCAGCTCAAACAAACATATTTACAGAGTGCACTATCTCAAAGTTCAACAAACTCTAAATTAAGAGGAACTGTCCGTGTAATTTCATTTTCCTTTGTATGAATTCTGGCTAAACTGACAATAAAGGATGAGTGGCCAATAGAAAGAGCCGATGAGGAACACATAGCTTATTTATCTCGAGCTTCTGACCTAAATCATCGCCATTCACAATTTATCAAGATTCATTAGTTTGTCCTGCCAGGAGTCTGACCTGGCAAATTGCTGTGAGTTATTTGTGGTGAAATTGTTGGCTAATCATCGGGGAATCAAAAGATCAGATATGACGCACAAATCAATACATAGCCTTCCTGATGGGATATTACCTGCCATGTCTTCAACAAGATATACTATCATCCTATTTGTTTGTTCATTGTGTGTCATTATTCAATCAAAACATGGAACGATATAAACATCCACAAACACACAACGGCTTGTCTTGAACATTCCCATGCAAATGATACATAAGTGTATATCTGGTAAATCAGAATGTATATTTCATGTACTTGCATAACATAAATGAGTTTAAAACATGAAAAACACTGACATGGAAAATGTCAACACATGCCATTTGTTACAGATGCAGAACATCAGACACTGAATACCCAAAAAACACTGTCTACAAAAATGTTGGAAACTACAACAATATGTGACCACTTGTGGAAGTGGGAATGATGAGATATATGTAATGTTAAATAAGCTTACAAGGGAGCACCAGTTTTATGAGTTTAGCTACAAGTCTTTGTACCCCCCTCCCCATTATACCCCCCCCCCTACCATTATACCCCCCTACCTAGTGGTGAAGTACCAGATACTTGAAGAAGAAAGACTACAATTTTAATCAAAACAATCTTTCCTTGACATTTCAAGTATATCTAAACACTACCATGGGATTAGAACTAATAACCGGCACTCTCCATCAGAATTGCATGGCTCATTGCCTCGAGTTGATCAGGTGTAAACACAGGCTGATGTGCCCTGATATGACCAAACTCCTCATGGTAATTACATTATAGCAACCCTGGGACCCAGATGAGAGTAGGAATTACGAATGTAGCAGAAAAACAATATCTGGAAAAGGGTGCATTCAGCTTATAAGAACAGAATATATTATGATGGATCTCGGATTTGGGATTTCAAGCAGATATCTAGAAACATATTGTACAGCTACAACATCCTTACTTTTTTGACTGGTTTAGTAAAATGGGCAAGTGTCTTTAAGATCCCCCCAGACATTCGCCTAATACTGTTAAGAGAGACAAGGGGGAGTCTTTATGTAAGACTATGCAAAGCTAAAAGCCTTTACATGTATACACGTCATAATTCATTACCTGAATTATAGTCAAGACTGTCATGATAATTTTCAAAAGAGATGCATTCCCAATAAGAAAATCTGATGATTAAGTTGGTCATATTTTAAACATGGAATAAATAAGAAAATTAAGAATATTGTATAAATGCAAAGGAAAAGCTAAAATACAACAATCCAAGTTTTTGAAGATTTGCTCATTTCGGATGACCAATGTATGAAGTTTCCAATGAAAAATAGTATGAGATTTGCTATGGTATTCAAATACTGGTAATAATATGGTACTATGGTCCCTATAAGCATTACATAGGAAATGCATAGGATGAGAATGACAAAATGCCTGATATGGTACTATGGTCCCTATAAGCATTACATAGGAAATGCATAGGATGAGAATGACAAAATGCCTGATATGGTACTATGGTCCCTATAAGCATTACATAGGAAATGCATAGGATGAAAATTACAAAGTGCCTAGATTTACAGATTATGAAAATTATATTGATATTACAACAAACTATATTCTAATGAAAGCGCAATACCCTTGTGAATATAACCATGGCTGGAAATTTATAACTCTTAAAGATAAGCAAGGTTCATCAATAAATCATATTACTTTAGAATCTATAAATGTTTTCATTTGTAAGTGATAAATCCTGGAAAATTGTACCATGAGATGTAACGGTTTATCATTATGTTAATATTGTGCATATATCATACATGTTACCCATCATAACAGGTTTTGTAACATCTATAACTTTGGAATACAGACTGGGTAATTCTAACCTTTGAAAGACCCCGTATCTTTCTACACTCTTTAAATCAGAGATAATTCTAGCCTAATAATCCATCCATCCGTTCCATCACACAAAACAATGTATTTACTTCACATCCAAATGCCACAATTTTCAGATTTTTTTTCATATATGTGATGTTTAATACAACATGATGCTCTCAAGAGCATGTTGGTTTTAATTAGACAGAAGTGGGCCAGTGCCAAAGTAAGGATGAGACAAATAGAAATGGATTGCTATATTTGAGGTCATTCATGTCTATAAAAGTATGAAATCATCGGTAATACTCAGAGGGCAGTGTGGTTGGCTGGTGATGATTCAGGGTAAGGAGATCAATTTCAGATTCTCCCTCTTCATCCATCATTCATTAGCTGATTGTGGGTATTTTGTATAAAGGGTAAAGATCAAAGAATACAGTGAGATATGCTGTTGGGTTATGCTAACTCTTGCAGCTGTTTCTGAGATAACATTTCACATTTCCAAAGAGTTTTCACCTGTTTTTTAGACATGTCAATCTTTATTTACCCAACAAGACACACACTGATAAATATCGCACTTTGAAGGGAAAATGGACATCATGTAAAGCCAGCCTACCCAGAACTTAATCAGATCTTGGCAATAAGTCTGCTCTTGCATCTGTAAAAATTTCAAGTTGAATGGAATTTTGATGACAATATTTATTTGGCGCCTGGTGGCCTGAATAGGCGCATGCATAGCAGCACAAGCCGATGACAATGTAACAATTTTTCAAAGTATGATAGCAACCTCATTATATTCAGTTGAGTGTGTCTGTCTCATGCAGTGAGATATATAGGCTAAAAAATTCCTTATATCTATTCATTTAACATGAGCCAACTACCTAGTTGGATCTACATTCTTGAATTTTTGTGCAAGCTACCACCACCATGAGATCGCAATTCTTCTCAACCATTGCTTCAGAACATTCTACTCAAAGTTCAGAAATTATAACACATCCATAGCTACAGGAGTTGTTTTGGAACCCAGCAAATAACAATACCAGGAAAACAATGTCACTAACTAACTCTGTTGCTATTATTGAGTTCATAAATGTTGACCTTACCCTATATTTGTACATTTTCAATCCCTGGGAAAGCAACACAGATATTGATATATTGATAACAAATGTGTTGTTATTATTGAGTAACTGCTTCTGTTCTCAGATGTTTCTTGCTCTTGCTGAGTTTCAAAATACTCTCTGGTCTTTTTTTACTCTTTTGACACTTTGGGGCTCAAATAATAAGACCCGAAAAAGTGAAAGCATATGGTAATAATTGGGACTCAATCAGTGAAACTTTGGTTTACATTTCAGCTTTGGATTACAGGATAGGCCAAAAAACTGTCAATTTTATTTATAAAGTACAGTCTATGTCAAATATTAGGCTGTTCAAAAATCGTTAATGTTATGTATAAGCAACAATAATAGATCTTCAGTCCATCTTCAGACATAACATTTTGTGATGTTTTGCATATATTACTGGTGTATGCAACATATACATATTGTATTGTTATATCTTGAATCTATTATGATATGCCATAACCATTTTTTAATTAAATCAAAAAACACTGGAGAGTAAGTTATAATTTAGAATGCCTGGAAACTTATTCCTAGCAAGGAGGAGGGGGGGGGGGGGTAAGGGGGGTTTACAGTGTATGTTTATTTCTGATAGGATACAACATATTTTAATTTCCTGTTTTCACTTGAGAAAGATGATGATCGTCATGTATTGTTTTGCATGTAAAAAATCTATATATCTTGTTTGTGTTACTTTGGCTAAGTCATTATAGACAATAGATAGAGGGGCCTTTGCTAAAGGTTATAGACTCTCAAGCCTCAATTGAAAATACATTGCTCAAAGGCATGCTAACCCTCCATATGCAGACTTATGCAAAAATCAATGTATATTAGTTCTCCAGAACAAACTGACATTCAGTTGATGGGAAATAAAGTTTTGTATTACATACCTAGCGAAGCATTTGTATGGAAGTCAATGGGAAAGTTAGCGAGCTATATCCACCGATATTGCCCGATTACCCCGATATAGCCCGCTTACCTCGTTTTGATATTAGATTTCTTTAATAACCATGATAATATCATGACGTCACGTCATTGATACAAAGTAACCATGGGAACAAAGGCATGTAATACATCAGTTATGTCACTATGACGTGAAATATGCCTTCGTTCTTGCCCAAATATAGAGCCTCCCAAGGTCGGCCTATATTGGGAGAACTCAGGCATATTTCACGTCATAGTGACATAACCTCTAAATATGCCATTTACAGTTATATGTTATGTGTTCCAATGAACACATCTGGTAATATATGTTACTTGTGAAAAGGTCTGTAGTGCATGATTTATGTATTGTCTGTATGAGTGTTGATTATAAGTAAGTATAAAAGTGTAGTATCTGTATTATCTGAGAAATATTTGTAAGAGAAGGGTGTTCTCAAAAGAGAGGTGTTCTCAAAAGAGAGGTGTTTTCAAAAGAGAGGTGTTCTCAAAAGAGAGGTGTTTACAAAAAATAGAGATATCAAAATAATATGTGCTAACGAAGACGGGCTTCAATATATTTATCAAGCTATATATGAATCCTATTATCAGAATCTGATCATTTTACTGTCCTTTAACTATCTCTAAAAGAGCCCTGTTGAATATTCTTAGATTCATATTTTATCGTAGAATAAGAAGACAAAATGGATTTATAACAAGAAAAGTCAGTTATATCATTATGACATACAATGTTAGGCATTTGTTTCCTTTGCAAATTATTCCATTAGTAATTTACATAACTTCATGTTTTCTTCAGACAGTGACAAATAACATTAATCAATACATAATTATATATGATGGACTTTAGTACAAAATTCTATATTATATTGTCATTTCTCAAGGTTCCTCACCAGGGATACAGACAGAATGGGTATCCTGTGTTATTGCATTGTAAGGGCAGGCTAACATTGCCAGACATAGGGAGAGCAAGATAACAAAATTAGAAGCATGATCGATCGTCTAATCAGGTGTGCATATATATTCACTTCCCTTTGCACAAAAAACTCAACCTTATGATTTTACTGTGAACTAATCATAAGGAAAATAAGGGGAAAAACATGTCAAAATATTTACACATTTAAAAACTTACACTTAGATTTTAATTCTGTATGCTCTTTTATATTGAATCTCAAACATACCATTTTTATTCGGAAAAAAATAAAAAATAAAAATTCTATAAAAAGGTGGTTAACTTACAGACGAGTTGGAAGATAGCTAGGAGAGTCATCTTTGTTGCGAACAATATCATTGCATTTGTTGATGGTTTCAAACAATGCAGTCGTATCTCCAACACTGAAGAGTGTTGCTAAGCAACGAGCGAGGAGTTTCCGGGTAGGGGGGCCGGGACTTTCACTAATCTGAGTGGTTAATTGTACGACAAGCTGCTTCTGACTGTGTTTGATATCAGACTATAAAAAACAAAAACAGAAATATTAATATGCAATGCAAATATGTATCTGACACTAATGGGAATAAATCAAGTTATTAGCTGCTCTATGAGTGCTCTAGGTTGAGTAGAATAACCATTAAAGAGACACTGACTTTACTATTAACATATTAAAATGACACTGTTTCTAATACAACACATTGAAAGGATACTGTAGATGCACTCTGCATTACTAACATGTTTAGGGGCATAATATTAGGTATTAAAAAGATACTGTAGATGCACTCTGCATTACTAACATGTTTAAGGGACATAATATTAGGTATTAAAGGGATACTGTAGATGCACTCTACATTACTAACATGTTTTAGAAGGGACAGTGACTTAAATATAAAACATTAAAGGGGTACTGTCTCTTTTATCAATACTTTAAAGCGACTGTTGCATAAGCATTTATATGATCTGACTGATATTGATAAATGATACAATGTGACATTTACATGGAATGATGTCTCAAGTCTTTCTTTTAGTTTACTGTTTACAGAAAAAAATTGAATAATAAATGAGCATGTTTGATCACTGGGATTCTATCTAAGAAAAATAACTTCACATCTTATTTATAAATCTGTAGTGTCTCAAGGGCATCATTTGATTACATAATGTTAATATTAGAGCTGGTGTTTGTTTAAATAGAAACAAATATATAATTCATAAGAACATTTCACAGATTGATTCATCTATTATGTAACTAGATGTCAATCGATATCAAGTGATATTTCATACTAGACAAACAGGAATCCTCGAGTAGGAAATCCCACTGAACAAAACATCTTTTATCATATCATCAGCATCATTCAAAGGACTTCATTTATTTCTCAATTCAGTATGGAGAGAAGTGAAATATACCATTGGACAAAAGGATGTATCACCAGATCATCATTTTAAATATTTCATGAAAAATAACCCTATTATTACTTTTGGCAAAATCTATTCTAATTACATGACGACATATTAGAAATCCTTCTGAACTAGAGGTCCTATGCAAATAATATAGGGATAAATTTTAGACCAAATCTGATATGAAAAATGGTTACCATTTTGAATTCAGCAGCCATTTGAGCCTATATTCGAAAGGCATTAGCATATAAAATTTGAACCAAATCCATTAACTGGTATTTGAGTTATCAAAGATTACATTTTTCATGAAAATTGGCAGCCATTTTGAATTAAGTAGGCATATTGAGCCTTCTTGAGCAGAGGTGGTATGTTTCTTAGGCATCACCTTACAATAGTCCATAACATTAAGGCATCAAATCTGTCAACCAGTGTTTGAGTTATCCATGTACAGAGGGATAAATAGACAGATGGACAGACAGCTTGTCTATATCCCTACCTGAACTTTGTTCCGTGGGATACTAAGCCTAGTCTTTGTGATAAAATTGCATTTACTTTCAATTACGGGTCATTATCATATCTTGACATCTTACTAAGACAGAATAAACTCAAAGGAAGTATTATAACTTATACAATGTACTCTAACAATAATTCCCAGCAGACTTGATTTAGAATCTTGTTTCTAGATATAGAACATAATCTTATTGTTAGTGTCAGGTAACTATATATATTGGGGGAATATCAAATCATTATATATTAAAAATCTAATAATGTGTAGGAGGAGAAGGTTCCAGTCTTGTTCCCTTGGCATAAATTGATTTAAAAAAACCATTTCATATAAAGGGAATTTATTTAGATAGGAAATAATTTTAAGCTGAATTTATACATCACTAAAAACAATATATCCCATGAAACATATAATGAAATGGAAAATGTCTTCTAAGACTTCCACTACTTTCCTTATATTACGTAAATTGTATTTTTTCATTTTGCCCTTGGGAACAAACTCAATGTAATGATTGCAATATATGGAAACAACCAGGTATACTTGTATAATAAGACATCCCATAATTTATGATGCAAATCAATTTATGTTTTCAGAAATAGGGAGGGAGTCAGTATAACACTTGTTATTTTAATATTAAGTAAATCTAATATCAATACATTTCCCCTAATTTAATTTAAACAAGTAAACTGAACCTTGATCATAAAATGAACAGAAAATCAAAAGTGGTACAATAAGCAACATTAATATACAAGGCACTAACATGCAAAATGTCACCACCTGCCGTTTGTTATAGATACCAAACACTGAATGCCAAACACCAACAACCAAACACCAACTGCAAAACACCATTCATATAAAAAAGTTGGAGACTATAACAATATGTCACCACTTGCAGATGTGACATAATAATTCAGAGAGATGAGAAAACCAAAATCTGTTTACTTTTTGTGCAGCAATAAGTACTTTGTCCAGGAATCTCAGCCATTCATATATAAACACTGGTCTCTTATTGTCTGAGATCCTCTTCAGGGCCTCTTCATTCAGTAAAAGACTGTGGGCTAACTCCATGCTCTATCTGAAAGTATGCAAGAAATACAACTGATATAGAGATTATATCTTTTTAATTTACATATAACACTAGGCTGTTCCACTGGTGTTATGTGCCATGGGTATTACATTAGATAGATTTCTATCTGATAGAATCCCCATATTTGTACCAGGCCAGAAATTTTGAATTTGGTTTTTCTGTATGATGTTTACTTCTTAATTAACAGAAAATACTTATAAAGGTATCCATTAATTGTATAAATCAGAATTATAGTTATAGTTAGTTAAACATATCAATTTGCAGTGGAAAAAACTTAATCGCAGACTTATAATGATACAGATGGGCTCATATTCATAAAATAAGGATTTCCATTTGAAAATGAAACTGAGACTTTTTCCGTATATAACTGAAATCATAATCGCACTAATGTATAGATGGAAAATAGTTTCAGACAGAGAACATATCACTGATGACTGCCTGTATTTGCTTAGAGATTTTAGTAGGAGTCATCATCAAAATATGCCTCAAAAGGCAATATTTCAAGCTACTAAATCGAATAGACAAAAACCCAGATAAATCTGCAATATAAATCTAAGTTCCTCAAACAGCAATCATTTAACTGAAGTATGATAAATTTTCCGGCTGCACTACATTGACAGATTTCTCAGAGGGACCAGTGTATTGTCAATAAATAATTTATCATTCTCTAAACTCGCCGGATCTCTGTGACCTTGAGCCGCAACTACTAATTTAAAGTTATCCTTCATCCAGTGTAATATCTGGGTTAAAGCAGGAATCAAACAGAGAATAGTCTTTCTTAAAGCCTTGGCATTCCCTCCATCAAACACAAGTGTTAGTTACTAACCACTGACAGAATCTCAAAATTGTTTTGGGAGAAAATCTCACAATTTTAAGCCTAGCATTTTTTAAGTTGGGCGACGTTCCTTTTAGCAATTTGAGTAAGCCTAATAGGGAAGGACCTGAAATTAGTGATGTGTTGTGCCAATCTAAGGGTCTAGTAAACCCTCCCCCCGGTATAATATATATAGATGCTCCAATGGAAGAAAGTATTTTTAACTAAATAAGAAAAAAACTGGAATTTCAATATGTACAGTATACAGTAACCTTAGTATATATTATACTAACAGCTGTATTACAAATTTATTAAGACATCATGTCTTTTATTCTAAGTATCTCTCTCAGTTCTATTTATACAATGTATAGTATATACCCCCACTCGGTTTGTAAAATAATTGCATGTAATAATTGATAATTGATTAAATGACGTTCATATCCTGAATTTTATAGCTTAAGTCAATAAATACTTTCCCCGGAGACTTAAAATTAATGAAACTCATTCATTTGCTTTTCAGATAATAAAGCAACTCGGAAGCCAGCATAACCCGAGTCATATTCGTCCGCATGTTTCATAAGAAGCAATCCGTGGTAGTAGAAAGGATCATAGAATTTCCTTACCATATTAACCCATATGACGAGATATCATTTGGGAAAAATTCAAGTCATTACTTTTGGCAATAGATTGCTCAGAGTTTGTTTAGCAGAGTATAAGTCATTTATCTGGAAATGAATCATTAATCAATAATGGCTGATTCACTCTATCTACTTTCTATCAACAATTGTAATTCCTTACAGATTTATAAAGTACAATTCATTGATGATTTTTGGAACAATTCATTGGTGAATCTAAGAATAGTTCATTGAGGCACTGTGGAAAAAACAGTATTGGTGACTCATAATTCAAAAGTTCATATAGAAATCATAATACATGTATGTGACCATTTTGGACATTTCTTGGAGAATTTAAGGTAGGTTTTGAGGTACCCTGCGTGCAGAGTCTAGTTAAACTACACTCTGCCTAGTAGAGACCATATTACAGTTTAGTAGCCCCACCCCCACGACAGGTACCGGTGACAGTTTGGGTAAATCACTTTTGACCTACGCGCTGACCTTCCACCAATCAGTGAGCTTGAAGAAACATACGCCAAATGCGTTCTAATTAAATATGCGCATGTCATTGGTCAATTCCAGGCTCAACGATGACGTCAGAAGGAATGACCATATAAAGAACGTCGGTCAAATTTGGCCGACGATTACTGATTGGCGCGGTGAGTTCACAGGTTTATTTTAGTTTGAAAGAGTGAAGACGAAGCTCTCTTTTAAGAAGTGAAGTCAAACGAATTTCAAAGGGTAGTTTTGGGGTAGAGTCTCAAGCATTGGCGGAAGAAGTTTGAGTTCTGTTTCCTTATAAAAAATAATCTTTAGAAATGGAAATGAAAGTTATGGATATTATAGGATTTTTTCTAGAAAGTATAGAATTATGATATAATTATATTTTCTCAAACCTATGATAGGAATCAATATATCCTTTAAAAGGGTGTTGATTAGGGGGTAGATTAGGTTTAGGCTCATATTCATCCAATAATGTCCACATTTTGAAATCATAAGGGAGTTCAATTATATTGATGTACTGGAAGTGGTAGCCTACAAAGAAAAAGACATACCTAAACTAGATTTGAGGATTGGGTTAAGTCCAAGTATAACTTTTCCTGAGGGTGTACACCATTTCATGTTATCTGTCTCTCTAGCCTAACATAGGCAGAAATGAAAGGCATCAAAATTCACTTTCCAGAGATGAAGCAATATTAGATCATTTCAAATAGGCCCACAGGCTGATAATTACAGAGAATGCACAGATTGTTCGATCATATTAATACCTAGTAATGGGTATATATTGTGAGCCTTAAGTCTCGAATAATCTATAAGTCAATTCTGTTCTAGCCTCAAGTGTTTCATGATCTTTAAGTCAATTCCTTTATGAGCCTTGAGTTCTTAATGATCTTTAAGTAGATTACTTTCTGGGCCACAAGTTCTTAATCATCTATAGTCAATTCCTTTCTGAGCCACAAGTTCTTAATGATCTATAAGTCAATTACTTTCTGAGCCACAAGTTCTTAATGATCTATAGTCGATTACTTTCTGAGCCACAAGTTCTTAATGATCTATAAGTCGATTCCCTTCTAAGCCACAAGTTCTTAATGATCTATAAGTCAATTCCTTTATGAGCCTTGAGTTCTTAATGATCTATAAGTCAATTCCTTTTTGAGCCTCGAGTTCTTAATGATCTATAAGTCAATTCCTTTATGAGCCTTGAGTTCTTAATGATCTATAAGTCAATTCCTTTCTGAGCCACAAGTTCTTAATGATCTATAAGTCGATTACTCTCTGAGCTCAAGTTTTTAATGATCTATAAGTCCATACCTTTTTGAACTTACCCTAATAGAACCTTAGCTCTGAAGATGACCTATAAATTACCCTTGTGGAACCTTAGCTCATGATGACCTATTAGTAACCCTTGTGGAACCTTAGCTCAAGATGACCTATTAGTAACCCTTGTGGAACCTTAGCTCATGATGACTTATTAGTAACCCTTGTGGAACCTTAGCTCATGATGACCTATAAGTAATCTTTGTGGAACCTTAGCTCATGATGACCTATAAGTAATCCTTGTGGAACCTTAGCTCATGATGACTTATTAGTAACCCCATGTGGAACCTTAGCTCATGATGACTTATAAGTAACCCTTGTGGAACCTTAGCTCATGATGACCTATTAGTAACCATTGTGGAACCTTAGCTCATGATGACCTATAAGTAATCCTTGTGGAACCTTAGCTCATGATGACTTATTAGTAACCCCATGTGGAACCTTAGCTCATGATGACTTATTAGTAACCCTTGTGGAACCTTAGCTCAAGATGACTTATTAGTAACCCTTGTGGAACCTTAGCTCAAGATGACCTATTAGTAACCCCTGTGGAACCTTAGCTCATGATGACTTATTAGTAACCCTTGTGGAACCTTAGCTCATGATGACCTATAAGTAATCCTTGTGGAACCTTAGCTCATGATGACCTATAAGTAATCCTTGTGGAACCTTAGCTCATGATGACCTATAAGTAATCCTTGTGGAACCTTAGCTCATGATGACTTATTAGTAACCCTTGTGGAACCTTAGCTCATGATGACTTATTAGTAACCCTTGTGGGACCTTAGCTCATGATGACCTATAAGTAACCCTTTTGAGCTCTAAGTCTGTGACATATTCTTCAGGCTCAGTCATTTCACAATTACTACCATATAATTTTTAATCAATATACTGTTAAAAACAAAATTAAACATTACATTCTTACAATTCTTATTCTGATTCTGAAAAACATAGAAATTACTACTCAAATTCTCCAGGTAAAAATCTGAGATGGTTTGCTCCTTTCTTAGATATTCAGAAACATGTTTTCTGACACATAAACTCTCAAGGAATCCCAAGGGCCCGATAAACCTACTTTGTCCCTTTAACCCACAAGGGTGCCATAATAAACTTTCCCCTACAGCATTCAAATCTCTTGAAAATGCTGTTTTTGTTCAAAAAAGATCATTGTCTTTTAATGAGTTAAATGTTTATAGTCAACAAAGCAAACAAGAAAACAAAGACGTATGCTCCTTTTTCCAATGACATTGACATTCTTGGAAACAAATAGTAATTACGCTAAATCTTAGTTGTTCAGTAAGTAATCAAACAGGTAAGCTCGTCATTACAGAAAACTCAAGTGCAAAATATAACACAAACACTGCAATGTTGTTAAATTACGCAGAGTAGCAAATATTAATTACTGAGGCAAACTGCATATAAAGGAACTGCAACCTGTACTTGAGAAAAAAGTTTATTTTTGTTTTTGAAAGAAATTATCTGGAATAAGCATGATATTTTAGATATAGGATAATTGTTTGTGATATTTGTAATACTCTTTATGATAATGACAAATCTGCTTCTAGTTATTGTGTAAACATAGAAACAATTCTATTGGTTAATAGTGCAACAGCATCCTTGTTTCATGTTTTCATATTTTTTTTTAATTTAGGATATTCCTTGCTTAAAAATCATAATACATCTGATGAGAATGACACTTGTTCCACATTATGCTACAGTAATAGACTAGATTGATGGGTGATATGAAAATTGAACCACTAAAACAGATGTAATTAAAGTTAAAGGGAACTTTCTACTATACCTGCCATGCTATCGGACCTGAACGAGCCACCTGGTGGTGAAACTGGTAACTACCTACTCGCACCTGCGTTATTCATTTTATCATCTTATAGTCATGATTCTCATTCTTTGATTGGTTCAAAACAGGTCACATGACATATCATTATCATTGAAATTGAGCCAATTTTATGAATTAAAATACAATCTAGATGAAATACATGGGGATAATGGAGTTAATCACAACAGCCTTCTAACAAAAAATTATTACATGAATGTTTTTTTGAAAAAAGAAACACAAATCAAATGAAGGACCCATGGTCCTATGCTCACACAGTTTGGAACCTTCAGAGGAATTAATATCCTGACTTTCAAACAAAAATATTGATTTGGATTTGTAGTCTCGAACTTTGAGAAACTTAGATAGCATAGTTATGTGACCTAGTTTGATGACCTTTGACCTTGAAGTTTATTCCATTTGGAATAATGTTTTTAATGAATCTGAATGCCATATATTTATCACGTAATTGTTTGTCCATTTATCTTTTGGATAGTTTCCAGGTTTTCTAATCCTTTAGCGGGTAGTGTAATTGGCATCTTTTCAATTTATATGAATGCATGGTTGACCCCAGTTTCACCAGTGTACTTTATAAAGACATTCAGTTCAGTATGTAAGACAGTCCACAACACGTGGAAATTTCAACATTTTACAACAGTTTTACAGCAGTTTTACTTCATTTTAATACAATGGCTGAGAGTAAATCGGACATTCTTGAAGCAGGCAGGAAGTGCAGTAAGTGTAGGGGCCTTATAAGACATCATATTGGCCCTCATGGAACTAAATGTGACTTTGAAATTCAAAAAGAATATCGAGATCAGGACGTTGAAGTCGATGTTACCAATGAGATTCTAGAATTAAAGAATCTCATGGAACGTATGATGATAAGTAATGAAACTTTCAAGCAGGATGTGAAGACTGAGATGGAATCCATGAAGCATGAGATATTGCAAATAAAATCTCGTTCCAATGATAACAATGATATACCATCAACATTTTCTGTACCGTCAATGTCACCCAAGAAAGTCGTACCATCAGCCCCTGCTAAATCGTCCATACCTGTTATGACGGAAACGAAAGTCTCTACCGAAGCAGATGAATCTGACACATCAATGATTCTAGATTATCCTGTACCTCAGAAAACAATAAAAGCAGTCAAATCTGGTAAGTTTGTGAACATGATAGATTTACTACCAGCTAATCTTGTGAATGATTACAATGAAAATCCAGATCCTATCATTTTAACACTTGATAACGGACATCTTCGTCAACAACACAAGCGTAAAGTTAAAACGATTACTAGCTTTAATCAGTGGTTATCTGCTTGGAGTATCTATGAATGTATACTGATTGAACAAAATCCGATCTTGTATTCGAGTCTTATCGCATATCGCACACTTATCCAGGAAGCGGACAAAAAGTTCCATTGGAATGCGATCAATCTGTATGACATTAAATTTAGAACAAAATTAGCTCAATCACCATCACCCAAATTTGACAAGATGGATATTACGTTATATGTCACGACATTGGATGCGACATGCGTCAAGAACACAATCAGATGTCACCGATGTTCAGGGGACCATAAAGTTAGTAACTGCCCCTTTCAAACGAGCTCCACGATGGCGCAGACATCATCGTCGGATACAAAACAGAAGGCGGACAAAGACGAGGTCTGTAACAATTATCAATTCGGAAACTGCAAATATGGAACAAATTGCTACAGGATGCACAAATGTAATGGATGCGGCACCCTTAACGTCCCTTGATCAAAATGTACGAAATGCCCATCCCTTAGCACACATTAATCCTTATAGACCACTTTCTCCTGACGCCCTAAAATTAGGCCTTAGGAATCATCCTGATAAACAGTTCGTAGAGAAAATAATCTATCAAGCCAAAAACGGAGTTTCGTTAGGTTTTCAAGGAAATAGACAATCGCAAATACACAATAACTGGAAGTCTGCATTAGAAAATCCTGACGTGATCGAGAAAAATATTGCTAAGGAAGTCAAAATGGGTCGTAAAGTGGGATTCAGTTCTCCCCCAATTTCAACTTATGTCGCATCGCCGATGGGCGCATATCGTAAAAAGCGCTCGGACCCTCCAAAATATAGGGTTATCCATGATCTTTCATGGCCTCCTGGAAAGGCAATTAATGATTTCATCGACAAGGATATATGCACTCTTAAATACATTAGCATAGATACAGTGATACGTCTCGTGAAACAATATGGTAAAAATTGTTTAATGTCGAAAATCGATTTATCAGACGCGTTTAAATATATAGGAGTATGCAGAGATGACTGGGAATTACTGGGTACCACTTGGACAACAACAAAGAATGGATCCACTGAGACTACATACTACATCGATTTAGTGCTTTAGTGCTGATGACCTTTGACCTTGAAAATTTTACTTATTCAGAGCTCAGTAAGGTCTTTTGTGATTAAGCTGACCAAAATTTACATCCAAAAATCAATTTGAAAAATCAACTTTTTTGACCTTTCGAAGGTCACTGAAGGTCAAGTTAAGGTGTAATCCTAAAACTAATGTCAGATTTGAACTCCTGGCAACTTGTAGATGATTTTCAAAAAAAATTTGGTCAAATTGAAGCAAGTTGAAAAATATCTTATTTTTACTGTTTTTTGACGTCAAATATTTCAAAAACGGTAAAAATTTGATGCTGACATATATTGAGAAATATGTAGGGAATGCTTAAATCTATTAATGATGTAATTTATTGCAGGAAATGATCAAGTATAAGGCAAACTTTAAGAATCTTGTCAATCACAAAACCTGCCATGGACTTTATACATGAGACAGTTTCCTGAAAATGATTAAGTCCTAGTTTTTTTCAAATTTTATAGAGTAAGCACCAAAAACCGTAATTCCAAGAGCTTTGAAATCTTCAGAGGACATAGGTTGCATATACACCAACTACTAAAAGTTATTTGAAAGTTCTACTTCAACAAAGTGTCTAGTATTTACAGAAAATTTGAATTTTTGACGTCAAAATCCGCAATTTCTCGGAAACCGGGCGAACTTGGGAAATCATGATGATAGGTCAAATAGGCATTATGGATATGCATAAAATGAATGTGGATATGACTCAATCCGAATAGCAATTTAATTTGTGCAGCCAATGTTGACGGACGGACGGACGGACCAACGGACGGACGGACGGACGGACCAACGGACGGACGCCTGGTCAATCCCATAGGCTCACTGTGTGAGCCAAAAAATAATGAATAAAACCAGCGCCAGATTGTCATATCAGGAAAAGCTCTTTCACGGTCACAGACGTATAAAAAGTTATGAATACTTTCAACATGTATGTTATAATGCCAGAAGCTGATTGACCTAAACCCCTACTTAATGCAGACCAATTTATTAACATCTTTTTCTGAAGGCTTTTGTATAGCCTCATTAGTTGAGATCTAATTCTGATTTACTATGGTAGCCCCTTCCATATATCCCATATTCACTGATTCAATTTTATTTGCAAACTAATTAATCTAAGTATGCAAAATAAAAAAATATATCATGGGAAGATTTGATTAGGATACAGGTTGAGGAAAAAAGCAATAGAAAAAAATCAAAATAGAAGCAGGTTGAAATGATCAGAAGAGCTCAATAGTTTTTAAAAAGGTCATCTTGGGTGACATAGGTCGATATTTCTTCATTTCCAGTGACATTTCTCCATCTCTAGCAAACCCTTAACATATTCTGAATCCTTATCAACAATTATTTAATTGATGCAACCATGACAAACACATGAGACAGACAAAAATAACTCATGTTTTAGATCATATTCTTAAGAATGTTCTAAATACTTTATATTACATATATTCAGTGAAAAAACAGAAATAAAATAATTCCCAAGGTCCAAACAGACATTAACCTCTTATCTATTAGATAGTCAGATCCATATTGAAGATGATGGGTAATCTGACAAGTAGAAAAAATGTTTTGACCATAAGGACAATTGATTTGCAATATTTCATCAACAGATGACCATAATTAACCCTAGCTCAAAGATAAGTCCACAAAACATGGTATTAATAAAAAGAAAATTGGACAATTTGATTCAAATCAGGACAAATTAATCTCATGAACTTTGACAAATTGATCCACATATTTTTATTTAAATTAACATAAATTAACAAAATAATAATAAACTCAATAAGTTCTAAAGAATATGTTTTTAAAACGGTATGCAACAAAAATATATATGGAAAAAGGTCTAGATGCATGATCTAGTCAATCAGGAAAAGGTAAGGTTACAGTGAATGGAGAAAATGTTTTGGTTGCATGTAAGACAAAGGTGATAAAGTCTGCTTATATGATGTGAGAAAAGGTCTGCTTACATAATATGAGAAAAGGTCTGCTTTCATGATGTGAGAAAAGGTCTGCTTACATAATATGAGAAAAGGTCTGCTTTCATGATGTGAGAAAAGGTCTGCTTACATAATATGAGAAAAGGTCTGCTTATATGATGTGAGAAAAGGTCTGCTTACATAATATGAGAAAAGGTCTGCTTTCATGATGTGAGACAAGGTCTGCTTACATAATATGAGAAAAGGTCTGCTTACATAATATGAGAAAAGGTCTGCTTTCATGATGTGAGAAAAGGTCTGCTTACATAATATGAGAAAAGGTCTGCTTTCATGATGTGAGAAAAGGTCTGCTTACATAATATGAGAAAAGGTCTGCTTTCATGATGTGAGAAAAGGTCTGCTTACATAATATGAGAAAAGGTCTGCTTTCATGATGTGAGAAAAGGTCTGCTTACATAATATGAGAAAAGGTCTGCTTACATAATATGAGAAAAGGTCTGCTTTCATGATGTGAGAAAAGGTCTGCTTACATAATATGAGAAAAGGTCTGCTTTCATGATGTGAGAAAAGGTCTGCTTACATAATATGAGAAAAGGTCTGCTTTCATGATGTGAGAAAAGGTCTGCTTACATAATATGAGAAAAGGTCTGCTTTCATGATGTGAAAAAAGGTCTGGTTACATAATATGAGAAAAGGTCTGCTTTCATGATGTGAGAAAAGGTCTGGTTACATAATATGAGAAAAGGTCTGCTTACATAATATGAGAAAAGGTCTGCTTTCATGATGTGAGAAAAGGTCTGGTTACATGGATGTTAATGGAGACAAGGCTTGTTTAAGTGGTAGTCAATGAGAGATGTTTGGTTGCATGGAAGTAAAACAGGAAAAGAAAAGGTCTGGTTACATGAAACATAATTGAGTAAATTATATGGAACTTCTATGGAAAAGATTCAAGTGAGTATATAGAAAAGGTCTAGATACATTTACATCATCAAATCAATAGGGAAAAGGTCTAGTTGCATGGAAGTCAACATGGATAATGTCTGGTTACATGGAAGCCAATAGAAAAAGGTTTTATGGAAGTTTATGCAGAAATGGCCTGGTTTTGTGAACCCTATTGTCTGTATCCTATAACAAAGAGTTAAATCAGATGGTTTACTTTACAAAATCATTTCCTGACAACAAATATGTGTTCAGTAAAAGCACTATCACTGATTGCCATGTTCTAATATTCAAAAATGCCATAAAATTATGAGGATGACAAAATAGAGCAAATTGAAAAGCTTCTAAGAGATTTTTCTTTGGACAACTGAGAATATCTCGTGCCCTGAAGAGCCATAAATGCGAGAAACAATAGCCATAAATTACCCAAGTTTCTATGAAGCAATGTCGTAAAACATGTAATTCACCGTTTTTAGACACTCAGAAGGAAATTTCCTTTAATTTGGATTCTAGAACATAGAGTAGACAATCTGTCTGCGAAACAGCCTCTTCGGTTGCTTTAACATGACTCTTACATATTGTCAAGATATGCATACTTCATGTTATTAATATCAAAGAAATATTATCAAAGAGGGAAACCAATATAGAATACAGTGAATTCTTTAATGACCATAAATCAGTATATAGAGATTTGGAAAAATATAAAAACCTTAATTTATTTGAGGAACTTTGTTAAAAGGGTTCTTAGGATCAATACTTGCACAAGATCAATGTCATCTGCATATATTTTGGCCCCCTTAACAACAGAAAGAATCTTGTTTCACGTCTTCGCACAGCGTGATCCCACCATTGTTCACCAATTTATCAGATTAAACTCAATATTCTTAAACCTTGAATGACGTTATTTCATTAATTGCGTTGGGGGATTCTATATAGGACCCATTTATCCAATGTGGGTCTTACAAAAATTAACTTGGTCTTTTAACAATAAAATGTTGACAAAATTGGTCTAAAATTCCTAGCCTAAGGTCATGTTTCCTCTTAAATTTTCAAATTCTGACTCTCTAAGTAATATAATGCTTCAAATTAATAGCTTTTGAGTATATTGTTGACAATAATAAATACTTAATAATTATAAATAAAACTTAAAACTGTGACATTGTTCACAATTATTAGAATATTCATCAATGATGGCATTGAGAATCAGAGTTCTTATTTCTATAATTTGATTTCTTGAAAGAGAGAGTGGACTCAGGTAAATCATATCCTGGATTCTCAAAGCTGGTCGCAAAATAGAGAGAGTGGACTGGTAAATCATATCCTGCATTCTCAAAGCTGGTCGCAAAATAGAGAGAGTAGACTGGTAAATCTTATCCTGCATTCTCAAAGCTGGTCGCAAAATAGAGAGAGTGGACTGGTAAATCATATCCTGCATTCTCAAAGATGGTCGCAAAATAGAGAGAGTGGACTGGTACA